TTACAAAATAATCCTAGTTCAACTTCTAGAACAATTGAAAAATCAAGGACTAGAATAGAAAATTAAACTGCTCTATCTCTATTTAAAAAAAAAAAGTTAAACAATTCTTACTAAATATAAATATTAAGATACTTTATTTTTAACCAAACAGTCTGTTGGTTCGAATGGAATGAGTTTGATTTCCTTTTAAACAAGGTTCGAGTTTGAATATTGTGAATGGAAAAACAAGTACTAAGAGAGTCTTTCCCCTAATGAGGTCTAATACAGTTCAATTTTGAATTAACGGAGACTCAATGTGATTATCGGATATTAAAAGATTAATACTAAAAAAAAGATACTTTAATTAAAATCAACAAAATCCCATTGATTTTTTCCTTTATTTTCTCCCAATCCCCCCCATTTTCCTTTGTTAGAAAAAATGAGTGGTCTTACAATGCAAGTGTCCATAAGAATAACACCAATAAAAAAAAAATGAGGAGGAAAACTCCATACAAAATGAGAGTTTTCTTACAATACAAGTGTCCCATAAAAACAAGAAGAAAAAGAAGAAAAAAGAACCCAGTAAAACTCCACACAAATAATTAATCAAAAACCTATGTGGATCGTAAAAAATAATTCTGCTTGTCAAAAGCAGTGATAGGGGTAACAAGGCTCATAAATTGTTAAGTAATTTATTGTGTAAAAATACAAAATATTCTTCCAGAGTTTTAATTACCGAAAGTGAATGACTAATACCTCCAAAGCCCAATACTAAAGAACAAATTAAGTATTGCACCAAAAAAAAAAAAAAAAGGAACAAATTAAGTACAGTACTCCAAACATAAAGTACGGAAAAGTTCAAAGCGTACCATTGGGAATTTGTGGCTAAAGAGATGGTAGGCAAGAGATATTACAAGTTTACAACCCAAAAAATCAACGGAAAATCCTGCCTCCTTTGATCTGAGCCATGGTGTCAAGAATGAAAGTTTAGAATATTTGACTCCAGTAAACTTTGAGGAGCATAAAATCTGGATTCTAGTAAATGATGAGGAAAAAAATGGAACATTATATGATCCCAGCCTTTCCTCCACAAATCAACTGAAAACCACGACGAATAGCACTTTGCACAAAGAATCCAAAGATAAACGTAAGTTCAAAGGCCCTTTTCAGTAGTCCGATAGAGAAAGGTGCAAAGACAATAATCATTCTCAGATCTACATTCCTCTGAAATGCATTTCTCACTCATTGTGATTAAGCTTCCTGGCAACAGAGTTCAATACTTCAACTCACTCTTCAAGCATATCAATCCTCAAGAATCATATAATTACAGAAGACTTGAAGCATACAGAATAGTCTAACACAAACTGAAGATGTAAATGATTGAAACAAATCAAACTGTCTATGACACTGCATTTCACCTATCCTTAAAACTTGAAATTCCTGAAGTGTCAACAAAAAGCGACAGTAGACAAAGTAACAAAAAGTGACACATTGATAGAACAACTAAGATGCATTTTAGTCTTAATAAAACATGAACAAAAATGAAAACCATACTCAAACCATATGAGACTAAACAAGTCTACTACACTAATGAGACCTGAAACCAAATCAAGATTTCAAGGAATAATACCAATTCAAGGTCAGACCCCTACACGGCTATACCCATTTCCTCAAATCTCCCCAAATGCCTTTCTATCAATAATTGTGCTTCAAACCTAATCCACGCTTTCCACATCTACAA